TTTTTTTGTGAAAATTAATATTAAATTTTTTATGAAAAATGTAAAAACCATTAGAAAGTTTTAATTTTGATATTAATTTTTAAAAAATCAAGTTGATCCAATCAAATTTAAAACATATATAAGTGAGTTATATATTTATACGTACTATTTAAAATTTAAAATAACCCGACACAATAATTTAAAGGAAAAAAAACTACTTAATTCAAATAGAATGGATTCAACCTGTATGCCAAATCTACTCTACAAAAGTTATTCTCCAAAATCAACTATTCCCCCCACGCAGCACTCATGACATTGCCAAACCCCTTCCAAGGTCAGGTTGAGTGTGCCACATTGAACCCGTTCAGTTGCCACGGCATCTCCATGCGCTCTCTCAAAACACATGGGAAGATATAAATGATGAAAACTGGAAAAACCATAAATCAATACCTCAATATATTATTTCACATGAATGCATGACCTCTTTATTTTAACAGATAATGATGGATGTACATTCCTGCACCACACACTCCGTTACACACTTTAATTTCCGTTATTTTGTCATTAATTACACTTAATTCTATTACCATCTCTTCAATCATCTCCCAACTCACCTAACCATTTCCATCCTCACTAGATCTATCTTCCTCCCCACCTCCATCCTTATCCTATAATCATCTACAAGACAATTGCCAACCTCTCCCAAGTTCCCACCTTCTTCCTTTTTTCTTTTTCTTTTTTCTTTTTTTTGTTTTTTCTGGAGAACCCAAGTCTAGGTTCTCTTAAGAACCCGAGAGAAAAAAAAAAAAAGAAAAAGAAAAAGAAGAAGAAGGTGGAAACACAATGAGAATAAAATGGAGACTAACGAAGTGTGAAAATTAATGAAAAAATGAGTATGTAACAGGAGTGTAGTACGAATGTATGCGTACCAATCATGGTCCTATTTTAACAGCATCTAACAATCTACTTTAGAATTGGTTCCTTAAATCCATGGTAAATAACATGTCTTTAATCGAATTGAAAATGAAGTTTAGCTAATATATCAATTGAACATAGTAATCACGATTTTTTGAAAATTTCCCAACATTTAACAGCATTAAGAGGTTTCTAATTTTTGAACAATTATTAATACACCCTTGTATCAATGTAATGCATTTAAAAAGAATTAATTTATCAAATACTTTTTCCATTTTTGAATTTAAAATTTGAGTTAATAAAAGATATTTATTTATCAATAAATATAAACCTTAATATTGCACTTTTAAAGCCTTTAAAGTATGATCATCGTGTTTTTCTTCGAACATGAGAAACAGATTTTTCTGAGAAATGGAACGCTTTGCAAGTACGAGGCAGGGAGTTCGCAACCCTAGTAGCCCCGAAGCTTTAAAGCATAGGATGAACCCACTAGCCTTAATGCGCTTGTTCTGTGATCTTTGTCTATTGTATGCGAAGAACATAGGCAATCATCAATCACACAGAATGTAACATGATCGACTGACTGTTTCTCGAATTATCCTAATATTGTGATATATTTTGATTTAAAAATTAATTTATTATAATTTATTTTAAACAAAAATATTAATTAATGTTATTATAAATATTCAGTAGAATTTAAATAATTGTTTTTTTAATTATATTCTACATAGATATCTTAAAAATATAGAAACGGAATTAGTGTTGTATAGTTTACGTTATTTTAAATAGTAAAATATCAATTATTTAACAGAGGAGTCATCTCCCATTATTAAGAGGCCTTTTTAATTCAATTGTTAATGTTTTACCATTTGAATTACAAACACTTTTCTATATAGAAATAATTGTATATATTTTTTTGTAAAATATTTTTTTGTTCATTTAATTGTTTATTATTAATTTAGAATACAAAGAATACTCGTAACTACATACATTATATTTTATTGTCACTTCAAGCTAAACATTTACTCTCTTTTTTTTTTTTTTTGTAAACCATACTCCCTACAATATGTACAATTTTCATTTTTACCTATATTGCTTTTGAAAAATAATTAATACACACTAGATTCAATATACTTTCTAACACTCATCCCAATTTAACTAAAAATTATAATGTAAGTATAATCGATTCAATCAATTCTTAT